GTCGAGTCATCGCGCCTAGTAAGGACGCGCGCCTTCATCTAGGGTGCCCTTGTGTCCTTGTCTCTGCGGCCCGTCCTTGGCTGGTTTCACTGGTCGCCCGCCGCCCACAAAATCCAGATTTTGGCCTCCAAGGGTCTTGCGTCCTTGCCACCCATCCTGACTACACGTTTTGACTGTGTCTGTCCCGCGGACCCGTGCAGGAGAGAGCCCCCGCGCCTCGTCGGTCTTTCTCCGGCTCGCTCGGTGGCTCCAGCTCGTCTCCTAACCCCAGGAACTCTTGCTTCCCCAGGTCTCCTACGAGGTGTTCTTTTCTCTCAGTCCTGGTGCTCTTCTTCTATTTCGGCCTCCAGGGCTCGGTGTCGGGACGCGGGGCGGTCAAACGTTAATCTTAAGTCGGGCCTGTCCCTCTACAGGGGGAATATTCAAAAGTAGTCCAAAAATAGTCAGGGGATTATTTGTTTGAGCAATTTTTGAGCATTTTTTGGTATTTTTTGGGTATTTCTAATTTTTCGTTCAAAATCGGCCTTTAGGGGGACACGCCCGACTTAACGTTAATCATGGATGCAGAACTGGCCACAGGGAAGGGGTCGGGAGCTTTGTGGCCGCGGACCTAAAGCATCGCCTCGGGGGATGTCTGCCCGTTGCGCCGACTTCTCGGAGCTGGGACTGCCTCCTCCCCGGGCCCCCCCACCAGTCGGGCCGGACGAAAGGGGGGATTGGGAAAAGCGGGGTTACGAAATCTGTTGCATGCAGCTGGTTTCGGCCCCGCCGCCGGGCCCATTCCTCGATACATGGGCGCCTCCGGGCGCCAGGAGGCGCCGGGAAAATCAGCTCCGTGAGTTGATTCTCAAGCCCCGCTTTGCTATCCTCTCCTTTCGCCCGACCCGAACCAGGCGCTCCTCCCGTCGCGTGGCTTCTCCGCCAGCGTCTCGCCCGGCTCACCTGGCCCGGCAGGGCTCGAGCTAAGCGGTGCTTTTGGCGATTCCGTGGACCGTTTCCGTTTTGAGCTCGTTGTGCAAGGCGGACCGAAGACAGAGCGAAGGAAGACGAGAAAACGAACAACAGTTTTCAGCTCGAGCCCTGTGGCCCTGTGTGTCAAGGGCCCTGGGCTGGCGGGTATGAACGGGCGCGCCGCCCCCGAAGCTGGCTGCGCTTGCTCTTCTTCCAAAGACCCGGGGTTTCCGAGGGACCTTCAGTGTATCGTTGCGTCGCCAGGTGAATGATGCCGAAAAACGGGGTCATCTACGCAGACATTGGCACGTAAGCTGCCTGCGTAAGGTCGCGCGTAAGCGCCCTTGTCTCCACTGTAATGTGCAGCGCTGGCGGCCCGCGTAAGCTGTGGCGTAAGGTCGCTACGACGTCTCGCGTAAGCCCCGTTTCTATTCGTCGCCCAGGTGACTTTCTCCGAAGAACGAAAACCTGTGTAATCGGTCGGAGGTCCGCGCGGATTTCTTGCTGACGACGCCGCTGCCGACGACGACAACGCCGACGCCGACTCCGACGCCGACGACGACAATGGTGACGATGCCGACGCCGATAACTTCGACGACGCTGGCGACGCCGACGCCGACGCCGACGCCGACGCCGACGACGCCGACGACGATGACGACGACGACGCCGCCGCCGACGACGACGACCACGACGCCGACGCTGACAACGACGCCGACGACGCCGGCCACGACGAGGTCGCCGACACCGACGCCGACGACGACGACGAACACGACAACGACGATGCCGACGACGCCGTCGCCGACCCCGACGTTAATGCCGCTGATTATGACGACGACGCCGACGCCGACGACGACGCCGACGACGACGACAACGACCCCGACGCTGACGCCGACGCCGACGACGCCGACGACAGCGACGACGCCGACGCCGACGATGCCGACAACGACGCCGACGCCGTCGGTGACGACGACGACGCCGACGCCGACGCCGACTGCGACGCCGACGCCGTCGCCGTCGCCGCCGACGACGCCGACGATATAAAGACGACGACGACGCCGACGCCGACGCCGACGCCGACGCCGACGCCGACGACCGATGCCGACGCCGCCGACGCCGACGCCGACGCCGACGCCGCACCCGCCGACGACGGCGACGCCACCGACGACGACGACGACGCCGACGCCAACGCCGACGCCGACGCCGACGCCGACGACGACGACGCCGAAGCCGACGACGATGACGACGATGGCGCTGACGACGGCGACGACGCTGCCGACAACGACGCCGACGCCGATGACGCCGCCGACGGCGACGCCGCTGACGCCGACTCCGCTTACTCTGACGACGACGACGTTGACTACGACGACGACGCCGACGACGCCGACGAGGCCGACGACGACGACGACGCCGACGCCGACGCCGACGCCGACGACAACGACGCCGACGCCGCCCCCGACGCTGACGACGCCGACGCCGACGAAGACGCTGACGCCGACGCCGACGCCGACGACGACGACGCCGACGCCGACGCCGATGCCGACGACGCCGACGCCGACGCCGACGCCGACGCCGACACCGACGCCGAAGCCGACTCCTACTCCGACGCCGCCGCCGCCGCCGCCGCCGCCCCCGCCGACTGCGATGACGACGACGACGAGGACGAAGCCGACGACGACGTCGACGACGGCGAGGACGACGACGGAGACGACGACGACGCCGTCGCCGACGCCGTCGCCCGACGACGTCGCCGTCGCCGCAGCCGACGACGCCGACGCCGACCACCACGCCGCCAACGCCGACGCCGCCGACGACGACGCCGACGCCGACGCCGCCGCGCACGCCGACGCCGACGCCGACGCCGACGCCGACAACGACGACAACGACGACGCCGCCGACGACGCCGACGCCGCCGCCGACGCCGACGACGCCGACGCCGACGCCGACGCCGACGCCGACGACGCCGACGCCGACGCAGACGCCGACGACGCCGACGCTGACGACGACGCCGCCGACGACGACGACGACGTCGCCGCCGACGCCGACGCCGACACCGTCCCCGACGCCGACGACCTCGTCGCCGCCGTCGTTGTCGACGCCGGCGCCGACGCCGATGACGACGACGACGACGCCGACGCCGACGACGCCGACGCCAACACCGACACCGCCGACGACGACGACGCCGACGACGACGACGTCGCCGCCGACGCCCACGCCGACGCCGACGCCAACGCCGTTGACGCCGCTGTCGCCGCCGTCGACGCCAACGCCGACGCCGACGCCGACGACGACGCCGACTCCGCCGACGCCGACGCAGGCGCCGGCGCCGACGCCGACGAAACGACGCCGACGCGACGCCGACGACGCCGACGCCGCCGCCGACGTCGACGACCCCGACGACGACGCCGACGCTGACGACGACAACACCGACGCCGACGCCGATCCCGCCGACGACGCCGACGCCGCTGCCGACGCCGACGCCGACGCCGTCGCCGACGCCAATGACGCCGCCGACGCCGACGCCGACGACGACGCCGACGCCGGCGACGGCTGCGACGACCCCGACGCCGACGCGTACGCCGACGCCGACGCCGCTTTCGATGTCCTCGCCGCCGCCGCCGCTGCCGACGCTGATGGCGATGACGACGATGACGACGGTGCCGACGGCGACGACGACGACGACGATGCCGACGCTGATGACGGCGACGACGACGACGCCACTGCCGACGCTGACGCCGACGCCGCTGCCGACGCCGTCGCCGTCGCTGGCGACGAAGACGCTGACTCCGTTGACGACGACGACCATCACGACGACGCCGCCGACGCCGATGATGCAGTCGACGACGACGACGCCGACACCGACGCACACGCCGCTGCCGACGCCGACGCCGCCGACGCCAACGCCGCTGCCCACGCCGTTGCCGTCGCCGATGCCGACGCCGACTTCGATGTCCTCGCCGCCGCCGCCGCCGCCCTCGCCGACAACAGCGACGACGACGACGTCGGTGCCGCCAGCGACGACGACGACGAGGAGGAGGACGCGGACGCCGCCGACGACGCCGCCGACGCCGACGCCGACGCCGCTGCCGCTGCCGATGCCGACGCCGACGCCGACGCCGACGCCGACGCCGCCGACGCGAAAGCTGACGCCGACGCCGACGCCGACGCCGACGACGGCGACGACGCCGACGCCAACGCCGACGCCGACGCCGACGACGACCACGCCGACGCCGACGCCGACGCCGCCGACGCCGACGCCGTCGCTGACGCCGACGCCGACGACCACGCCGACGCCGACGCCGACGCCGACGCCGACGCCGCCGCCGGCGCCGACGCCGATGCCGACGCCGATTCCGACGCCGATGACGCCGACGACACCTCGACAACGACGACGCCGACCCTGACGACGCCGATGCCGGCGACGACGACGACGTCGCCGACGCCGTCGTCGACGACACCTCGACAACGCCGACGCCGACGCTGACGACGCCGACGCCGGCGACGGCGACGACTACCATGACGCCGACAACGACGCCGACTTCGAGTCCGTCTTCGACGCCCTCGCCGCCGCCGCCTTTGCCCCCGCCAACAACGACGCCGACGACGACGACAACGACGAGGACGCTGCTGACGACGACGAACGTCCACGACGACGCTGCCGACGCCGACGCCGCCGACGCCGACGCCGACGCCGCTGCCGACGCCGTCCCCGTCGCCGCCGCCGACGACGACGCCGACACCGACCACGACGACGCCGACGACGACGTCGCCGCCGCCGCCGCCGACGCCGACGCCGACGCCGACGCCGACGATGACGACGACGCCGCCGACGCCGTCGCCGACGCCGGCCCCGACGCCGACGCTGGCGCCGACGCGGATGCCGTCGCCGACGCCGACGACGACGCCGACGCCGAGGCCGACGCCGACGACGACGACGCCGACGCCGACGCCGACGCCGACTCGGACGACGTCGACGCCGACGCCGACCCCGACGCCGACGCTGCCGACTCCGACGCTGACGCCGACGACGACGACGACGCCGGCTTCCCGAGGCTGCTCCGCGGCCCGCTGCAGATTCGGTACCGCACCCTCGAGGGATCGAGCAAGGCGCCTGCGGCGCGCGGGTGGCCCCACGGGCCGTCCTTTTGTCTGGACGCCCGAAATGGGTACTGAAAGAATGGGTACTATGCCCAACAGCAGCTCTTGTTCATTCTGAACAGGACTCGCTGTCCACGCCTCCGCGGCCTGTGTCCATTCGAGACAGGAGGCCGCCCGCCCAACAGCGGCCGCTGTTGGTTCGGGACAACATTTGTTGTTGGGCATGTTGCCCATTCTTTCGATACCCATGTCGGGTGTCCAAATTTTGGCAGTTTTTTTCAATCCCCATCCCAATTGGGAAGGTCTTGTCCCCGTGTTTCGAAGAGGAAGACCAGAGGCAGACACGTAGACTTTCGGCGGCGGATGCACACAGAAGTCTGTGTGCGACGTGGTGGGCACGTCGTCTTCCTTGAGGAAGCATGGCTGCCGGCCAGAGGCGGGGAAAGATGTCGTCTCTCTTCGGGTGTCACGGCCTCCGTCACACCTCGAGGGGGTAATTAGGCTGATGGCCCTGAGGAAACCTTGCCCGCTGGGGATTGCGATAGGTCTGACGCGGCACCCAGGGTGCGGCATACCTACCATATATGCGGGGCGCAAGCCCTCATGACAGTGGAGGACTGGGCCCCTCAGGTCTGACCCGGCGTACCGCGTTGCACGCCAGTTTCCTCGAGGCTGCACGCGATTCATGAGCTGCGGACCACGAGAAGCGCCAGCCAATTAGCTTGTTCGTCTGGCAACCTTGCGAACACTGGATCGATCAGGTGGGCCAGCGGCGTACCTCCCTCGGTGGCCCCCGAATGATGGGGTCACCTGCCGGGATGCAGCGCTCGTCTGCGGTGGGTGCACAGCCTGGACACCTCGGCAGCGGCAGAGTGGCGCACCAGCGGAAGCAGTGCACGCATTGCTCGGCTGACAAGCCAAAGGGATCACCACCTCGGGGACGGCAGTCTCCCCCAGGCGGACAGCGGCTTGGGATGGAGGAGAGGCTCAGCTGACGAAGGCATGTCTTCGAAGAAAAACTGGCGGCACAAGCATGACATGTCTGAGCCCCGCGCGGATTTCTTGGAGCTGCGTTGTCTACCCCAGCGTCGGCGCCCCTGGCGCGCTCCGCGCGCCAGGGAGGGGAGTCCAGCGCCGATCCAAGAAATTCGCGCGGACCTCCGAAAGTTTGTGCGCTTAGTCAGTGCTGTTTTCTTTTATGTCGTCCTAACCAGGCCAAGCAGGATGGAGAGATTTTCCCCTTGAGAAAGGGCCTCAGCAAAGCCCACGCCACCCCTTCCTTCTTGCTCTGGTAAGCGTTTCCCTCCTCCTCCTCCTCCTTCTCCTACTCCTCCTCCTGATGTAAGCAAAGGAGGCGTGCCTGGCCGTTAGCGACCGGCGCCTCGGGGCATCAAACGGCGTGCTCTGACTCTTCGCCGAGGCGGTGGAGGCGCAGAGGAGCAGCGGTCGCTGCAACGTGCAGGTGGCGACTGCGGGCATCAGTGGGGCTCAGGGACGCGCCACGCGGCAGGGCGCGCCGAGCCCGGCGGGACGCCGAGGCCCGCGAAGAAGCCGAGAGGAGGCGGCATGGAGCAGGAGAGCCGTGAACGTGCGAGGCACGAGGCGTGGAGGCCGTGCGCGGCAGCGGCGGGGAGCTGGCCCAGGCTGGGCCCAGAGGGGTACCCGGGCTTCGCGAGCACTGCAGGGCAGGGCCCCGCCCAGGGCCCGGCAAGGCCCGCAGAGGCCGACATCGGCGAGCAGCCCTCCGTCGCGTTTTTTCGCCCACGGCGCGGAGCCCTGGGGCCGCCGCCGCCGTCCTCATCGCCACTGCTTGCCGCCGTCGAGCTCTGCACGGGGCCGGCGGTGTGGGCAGGGCTGGTCGGTGACCAGGCGTGAACCCTACCCTCGCAGGCCTAAGAAGGCTGGCGCCAACACCAAGGTCGGCGGTGTGCCTCCACCGAGGGAGGACGATCCCGATCTCGGTGATGGTGGTAGCATTCTGGCTTCCAAGGTGGCCGAACTATTACCACCAACACCGACATCTAGGATCATCTTCCCCATATGGAGGCAACCCCCTGTGCTGGTGTTGGTGCCAATTTCCAGGCCTCCAACATACATGAACCCTACCCCCCCCCCACGATTTCTAAGGAAGGTTCACTCCGTTCGGGAGCTCCCGAGCGAAATGAACCCCGACCCCGCCTTCGAAATCGTGGAGGGTGGGGGCAGGGGTCACATGTGGCCACCCAGCTGGAGGAGGCGAGGGAGAGGGTGTGTGTGTGTGTGTGTGAAGGCCGCTCATCTCCCCTTTCTATCCACCTGTCCTGCTATCCTCTTGGCTCAGGTATTAGACATCTTGAACGCTCCTTTTCCGACGGGCGCGAGGACAAAGGCGGCTCATCTGTTCTCCTTATCGGTCTCTCATAGGTTCGACTCATCGGTCGTTAATTTCCGTTCACAGGGGGGGATGCGGAGGGGGGGGTGAGGGAGATGGGGGAGGATAGGCAGGCCGAGCGGCGCGAGAAGAGCGGAGGAGGCGGAGGACGAGGGTTGCTCCAGCAGCGGCGGTGCCCCCTGAAGGGCATCCGCTGGTCTGTACCCGCCTCCTTCTCCTCCTCCTCCTCCTCCTCAATTAAGACAGCAGCAACAACATCAGCACCAGCCGCAACAACAATCATGTTAAGACTGCTCGCTCCTATCTGCTCACGTGCCAATCAATACGTATATCCCAAACCCTCGGTACTCGCCGTCATCATCTTCGATCGTACCCCCTTGGGGTATATCTTCCTTGCCTGCCACGTGTATTTATTGCAGCCCCTTACACAAGGGAAGAGAGGACGGGTGAAAGGGGGAGTGAGAATAATGGAGCACGAGACAAATTAGCAAGAGGGGGCAAGGAGCATAATGCAAGTGGTATAACCAAGCGGGCAGATCGGGTGGGCAGACCCATCGCGGGCAGGTCGGGGAGGCGGGCCCAAGCGACGAGGTCGAGCAGGCGGGTTGCTGAAGCGTGGGTCCTGCATTCATCGTGAGGAAGTCTCGAGCGATAGCGCGATTCTCAAGTAAATCGTGAGAAATGCCAGCGTGGGCCACGAAGGGCATAACTTCCGAGGCCACAGAGGGCAGCGACGGGGCCGCTGAGGGCAGCACCGGGGCCACGAAGGGCAGCGATGGGGCCACAAATGGCGACAGCGGGGCCACGAAGGGCATGCACATGGGGCCACGACGGGAGCGAGCGGGGGCCACGAAGGGCATTCGTATACGGGGCCACAAAAGGCGACAGCGGGGCCACTGAGGGCAGCAAAGGGGCCACGAAGGGCAGCGATGGGGGCCACGAAGGGCGACAGCGGGGCTACGAAGGGCATGCGTATGGGGCCACGACGGGCGCGTGCGAGCGAGGGCCACGAAGGTCATATGATGCGGGGCCACAAAAGGCTGCGACGGGGCCACTGAAGGCAGCAACGGGGCCACGAAGGGCAGCGAGCGAAGGCGACCGCGGAACCAGTACGGGCAGCGAGGGGCATCGAAGGCGGGCGAAAGGCAGCGAGCGGCGACTGCAGTCATTAACGGGTTGGTCGGGCGGTCAGGCCCCAACGGGCGGGTCGAGCGGGCGGGTCGTTGAAGCGTGAGTCTTGCTTGCACCACGAGGCAGTATGTAGCGGGGGCTCGATTTCTGAGTGTCGAGGACCGGCATCTTGATAAATTATGAGGAAATATCAAGCGAAGCGGTTCGGTGGCAAATAGCGAGGAATTCCCAAGCGAAAACGCGATTGTAGAGTACGATTCTATAGTGCAGTGTGAGGAAGTTTGAGGCGGGAGCCGCGGTTCGGTGGTAAATTGCCAGGAAGTCCAAAGCGAGAGCGCGATTCTTCAATAAGTTGTGAGGAAGTCTCAGGCTGGAGCCGTTGTTGTTGTAGTCCGGGGGAACAGCAACGCAGTTTGACCCGGATTAAATTGTGAGGAAGTCTCAAGAGGGAACGCCGTTTTTGAGTAAATCGGGAGAAAAATCTTAGACGGGAGGGGGGGGGGGTGAGTAAATTTAGAGGGGATCTCCGGCGGGAGCCGTTGTTGTTGTAGTCGGGGGGCCAGGGGCACAGTTTGACCATCAAGGTTCTCTTTGTCAGACAACAGGATGCGAGCGTCGAGGGGCACACTTTGATTGAGAAAAGCATTATGCACCGGTGAGGGGGAATCAGCAATACTTATTTTCAGAAGTGAGAGTTCAACAATCATTCTAAGACCGTTCGCTTTTATTTGCCCGCATGTCATTCAAAACGAGTTTCCCACACCCTCGATATCCGCCTTTTTGTCTTCGATCACAGCCCCTTTGGGGGGATTCTTTCTCTTTGCGGGGGGCAGCGGGTTTAGATAGGCGGGCGAACCTGAACGGGCGGACAATCTTTCGTGGGCGTACATGTGCCCACCATTGGACTTGGTCTGGACCCGGCAAAAAGAGGAGGGGGATAACGAGGGAGAGTGGGAGGAAGGGAAAGGGAGGGACAAAGGAAGAGGGAAAACGCCAGGAGAGGAGGAGCCAAGAGGGGGGCGGTGGGTCAGAGGCAGAGAGAGGGAAACAATGACATATAAGGGAGGTAGAGAAAGAGAGAGAGAGAGAGAGAGAGAGGGGAAAGAGAGGGAGAGAGAGAAATAACGAGGGAGGGAGGAGGCAGGAAAGGGGAGGGAGAAGGAATGAGGGAGAGGAGGAAGAGGGGATAGGGCAGAAAGGCATTAGGATGAGGGAAGAGAGGAGGGAGCGAGAAGGGAGGACCGAAGGGAGGAGAGAGGAGGTCGAGGGAGGAGGGGCAGGAAGGTAAGAGCGTGAACGTTCGAGGAAGTCCTAGGCGAAAGCGCCGTTCCTGAAGGAAGTCTCGGGCGGGAGCCCACGACGGGCGGGCGATCCCTTGACGGGCGGGCCGGGCGGGTGGGACATTCAAGCGGGATGCTTACGTATGGCGAGAGCGCGATTATTAAGTAACTTGTAGCGGCGTCCTTGGCGCAGCGTGTTTCCTGAGCGTCGAAAGCGCGATTTCTGAACAAATGCGATGGAAGTCAAGTCGCAGGCGAGAGCGCAATTCTTGAATTAAATGTGAAAAGGTTATATGGGTGGAGCGGGGGTCTTGATTAAATTCTGATTCAATTGCGAGGAAGTCTCGAGCGGGAGCGCCGTTTCTGAGTGAATTGTTAAGAAGTCTCAGATGGGAGCGGGGGTCCTGACTAAATTGCGAGGAAGTCACAGGCGGGAACACCGATCCTAAGTAAATTGTGAGGAAGTCTTAGGAGCGGGGGTCCTGAGTAAATTTGGAGCAAGTCTCTGGCGGGAGCCGTTGTTGTTGTAGTCGGGGGGCCAGGGGCCCAGTTTGAGCACTAAGGCTTTCACTGTCAAAAAACAGGGTGCGAGCGTCGATGGGGCACAGTTTGATTGAGAAAAAAACGTATGCACCGGTGATGGGGGATTAGCAGTAATTATTCTTCAGATGTGAGAGTTCAACAACAACGACCCCTGCCAGCGTCCATCTCGATCCGATCGATCTGGCTCGGTGTCCACCCTGTCTGGCTTGGGCCGATTCGATTCCGAACCCCTGACGATCTGTTTCGGCCCCGATGCTTGCATTGCGCTGTTGCCGTTGCGCAACCTGGCGCGGTCCATCCGAGTGGACTCCGACTTCGGGCCGATGAGGCCTGGTCCGATGCACATTCCGATTCGGACCGATTTTCCGATTCGATGCTAAATGGTCTTGGAGGGACGATGGGGAAGAGAAGGGGTGGGGAAGGGAAAGGGGCCCAGTGGGCCCGATTCGGGGCCGAGTGGGCCCGATCCGACGAACATTCCGATTCGATCGGTTTCCTCAATTCGATGCTGATTGATCTTGCCCATTGGCCCCCTTCCCTCTCCCCCTGACGCCCCCAGGAACGGGAGACGTCGCCCCAGAGCGTTCCGGAACGCTTCGAGAGCGCTCTGAAAGGGCCGCGGCGCCTCATGCGTCCTCCAGAAAATCGGCGGACCTCAGAGATCCCCGATGTGCCCAGTCCAGTCGGGCGTCGCGCAAGGGGGGGCGACAAGCGGGGGTGGGGCGGAGAAAGGTGCACTTCTTGTGCAGTACATCCTTCAGAACGTCGCTGGATCTCAGGGATCCACGACATGGCCAGTCGGGCGTCGCGCAAGGGGGGGGGCGACAGGGGGGGGGGCGGAGACAGGTGCATCTCTTGCGCAGTGCGTTTTCCAGAAAATCGCCAGACCTCAGAGATCCCCGATGTGCCCAGTCGGGCGTCGCGCAAGGGGGGCGGATGACAAGCGGGGGGGGGCGGAGACAGGTGCACCTCTTGTGCAGCACATCCTTCAGAATCGCGGGATCTCAGAGATCTCCGACGCGCTCAGGCTTAGGTCGGGCATGTCCCCCTACAGGCGATTTTTCCAGGAAGATTTACAAATAATTTCAACAGCTTCAGTAGGAAATTCGTCCCCATATTATTTTTTAACTATGTTTGAATATTCTTCCTGTAGAGGGACAAGCCCGACTTAAGCCCAGTCGGGCGTCGCGCAAGGGGGGGGCGATGATTGGGGGGGGGCGGAGACAGGTGCACCTCTTGTCCCCTGCGTGGGCCCCCCTGGCTTTGCTGGGACCCAGGGGGGGGGTACGAGAGGTACACGCTTCTCCCCTCCCAACTACAGTGAAGTCGGGCAGGAGAAATATTCAAGAACAGAAACAACTCATCTGGGGACGATTTCTCGACTATTCTTGGCTGTTTTTTTGGGGGACGTTCTTGGGCAATTTATCATTTTCTTCCAAAATCCGCCTGTAGGAGGATACGCCCGACCTAAAACTACAGTCGGCCCTGATTAGCAGGTCGATCCTGCGAGATCCAGGGTACCCCTGGGTCCTGAGTTTCGCGACCCACGTCCTCTGCATGCATTCCTGTGGCAGTGTGGCCCTCGGGAGGGTCCCGTGTCCGCTCGCCCCTCCCGTCCAAGCAAGGCCGACTGCATCGCATCGCCTCTCCACCGAGCGACGCCCAGTCCAGTCCCGATTCTGGTTTCGCGACCCGTGCCCTGTGCATTCCTGTTGCAGTGTGGCTCTCGGGAGGGTCTCGTGTCCTCTCGCGGGTCCTGTCCAAGCAAGGCCGGTTGCATCGCCCCTCCACCAAGCGACGCCCAGTCCAGTCCCTGTTCAGGTTCGCGACCCATGCCCTGTGCATTCCTGTGGCAGTGTGGCCTTTTGGAGGGTCTCGTGTCCTCTCGCGGGTCCTGTCCAATCTCGGGAGGAGGAGGAGGAGGAGGAGGAGGAGGAGGAGGAGGAGGAGGAGGAGGAGGAGGAGGAGGAGGAGGAGGAGGGGGAGGGGGGGGGGGGGAGGAGGAGGAGGAGGAGGAAGAAGAGGGGGAGGGGGAGGAGGAGGAGGAGGAGGAGGAGGAGGAGGAGGAGGAGGAGGAGGAGGACGAGGTGAGGAAGATGGAGGAGTAGGAGTAGTAGGAGGAGGAGGAGGAGGAGGAGGAGGGAGGAGGAGGAGGAGGAGGAGGAGAGAGGAGGAGGAGGAGGAGGAAGGAGGAGGAGGAGGAAGAGGAGGAGGAGGAGGAGGAGGAGGAGGAGGGGGAGGGGGAGGAGGGATGAGGAGGAGGGGGAGGAGGAGACGAGGTGGAGGAAGATGGAGGAGGAGGAGGAGGAGGAGGAGGAGGAGGAGGAGGAGGAGGAGGAGGAGGAGGAGGAAGATGGAGGAAGAGGAGGAGCAGGCGCAGGAGCAGGCTGCGGAGGAGGAGGATCCGTTCGGCTCCGCCGCGCCCGCAGGCCCGGGACAGCTACGAGCACACGGAGGGCATCCTCCGGCTCGACAGGCACGACGGGCAGCACGCCTTCGAGGCGCGCGCTGGGCCCCCGCCGCCGCAACCGGGACGCCCGACGCGGTGCTGAGCCAGGGCGTTGCGGCAGACATCACGACGGGTTCGTATCGATTCCTCGGGTTCGATTCCATTCGACTTCGATGGCTGCCGATTCCGGTTCGATGCGACCTGGGATTCCGATTCGGGGTCCGACTGCTCTTGGAGGCATACCAGCCTGCCGATTTTTGCCGGTGCGACTTTTCCCGACTCGGCTGCCGATTTCCGCCGATCCGATTCATTTTGATCGCCGATCCGACTGATCGATTTGATTCTGGGCAATTGGGAAGAACTGGGTGCCAAAGGCCGACAGCATCTCCGGTTCCTTTTGAGCAGGAGCTGCTGGCGGTGTCGCAGTGGGCGTGGTCCATTCGAAACAGAAGGCTGCCTGCTCAACATCGGCCGCTGTCGATTTTGGATAGCGTTTACTGTTGGACATCGTTTCCATTTTTGCCGTACCCATGTCGGACTTCCAAAACTGTAGCTCTCGACCTGGTCTTTGTCGGGATCTCTCCAGCCGGATCGATCCTCAGAGGAGGAAAGGATGCCGATGCCGCTGCTCGTCCTGGAGAGTCCTCGTCACCATGGCTGTGGATGTATCGTGCTCAGAATGCACCCCACGAGAGGTCCAGAGAGTGGCGGTATATATGATCGCGGGCTCTGGGCCCACCGGCCACCCCCCCTCAGATGGAATGGGTCCAAGGGTCCTCGGACCCCCCCCACACTTGGGATCGGGGGGGGGCGGAGGAGGAGGAAGAGGAGGAGGAGGAGGAGGAGGAGGAGGACGACGGCGACGACGACGACGAAGACACCGTCCGCTCTGGCTCCCTGAAGCACCGGAACGCAACGTCAGACCCAGAAGGAGGTGACGACGGTGAAGACACCGTCGACGACGATGTTCCTTTTCCTCCTCCCCCCATCCGCCTCTCCATCCTCCCGGCTCGTTTTTGGCCCTCTCTTCCCTACAACGGTTGCGCGCACCAGCACGCCACGAACGGTACGTGACAACGGAGGGCCGCATGTTTGAGGACGAAACAGAGTCCCCCCCCCAAAAAATGGCGTTAGCTTCCCTTAATTAGGCACACTCAAAATAAGGCAGGTTTCGTTGCCGAATGCGTAATCAGCGGGCGTTACCCGCCAGCGCACGCCAGATTGAGCGCGCACTTGACTTCATCGGAAGAGGCCGACCTCCCACACTACGGTTGCTAGGCATTACGGTGGGGCACCTCTCCTCCGTCAAGTGTAGCAGTTTTACGTCATGCCTGGGACGAGTGCAGCAGTTTTACGTCATGCCTGGGACGGCGATGGCGATGCAGATGCCGATGCCGATGCTCCTCCTCCTCCTCCTCCTCCTCCTCCTCCTCCTCCTCCTCCTCCTCCGACGACGACGACGACGACGACGACGACGACGACGACGACGACGACGACGACACGACGGCGGCGGCGGCGCCAGCGACGCCGACTCTTGGCTGAGGCGGACCCCTAATCGCCGCACACCCACAGGGGGGACCCCACACCACTCACACAGCGGGAAGCGGCCACCACGCCACGCCCACGCCCACAGGGGGGGGGACCATCGCGCGGGGGGGGGGGGCGATGGCATTAGCATTGGGGGGGGGACCCAAACCCTCGACCATATATGGTCCAGGGTCTGGCCCCCCCCGATGCTAATGCGATGGGGCCCCCCCCACTGGCGCAATGGTTCCCCCCCCTGTGGGCGTGGTGTGGTGCTGTGGGTGTGGCGTGTGTGGCGTGGTACAGTGAAAGCCTTGAGTAACGAACACTTACTTTTCAAAAGGGGCTCGGTCGTTCCTTAGGTTTGCATGCGTTCCGCTACCTTTTTGGCGGCGAGCCCCCAGGGTGTTCCTATGATTTTGGACGCACGGGTTCGTTTTTTCGGTCGGGCGGTCGGGGCGGACGGTCCAAGGAACGGGGCTCCACGGGGGGGCTCGGTTCCTTGCGCTTGCTCGACGTAATGCGACGGCGGTCGCTTAAAAGCCCGGCGCCTCTCTGGGGCCCTCCGGTTCCTTGCGGGGCCTTCCCGTATTGTGGTGCTCCAGGAGAACTCTGGAGGTCGTCGTCGTCGGCGCCGCCGCCGTCGTCGTCGTCGTCGACGTCGGAGGTCTCCAGAGGTCGGCCGTCGGAGGGCTCCGGAGGTCGGCGGAGGTCGCCGCCGCCGCCGCCGCCGCCGCCGCCGCCGTCGTCGTCGTCGTCGTCGTCGTCGTCGTCGTCGTCGTCGTCGTCGTCGTCGTCGTCGTCGTCGTCGTCGTCGTCGTCGTCGTCGTCATCGTCCTCCTCGTCGTCGCCTTCGTCGTCGTCGCCGCCGTCGTCGTCGTCGTCGTCGTCGTCGTCGTCGTCGTCGTCGTCGTCGTCGTCGTCGTCGTATTCGCCGTCGTCGCCGTCGTCGTCGTCGTCGCCGCCGTCGTCGCCGTCGTCGTCGTCGTCGTCGTCGTCGTCGTAGTCGTCGTCGTCGTCGTCGCCGTCGTCGTCGTCATCGTCGCCGTCGTCGTTGTCGTCGCTGCCGTCGTCGTCGTCGTCGTCGTCGTGGAGCCCTCTGGGGGGGGGGGCGCGGGCCCGCAGCCCTGGATCATACTGTGGGGGCCCATGCCAAGAAACGCCCTGCTTGCCTACACGGTGCCCTGGGTTTCCTGGGTCTCGATGGTTTTGCCACGGAAGGCGTGACGTTCCCACGCCAAAGATCGATGGGCGTCCTGGGGTCTCAGGGTTGGGTTTCTTGTGGAAGGTTTCTTGTGGTGGGGCCCCCACTGTATATCGTTGCCCCTTGGCCCCCCCGAGGGGGCCCGGAGGCGGGGCAGCACACGGCCCGCGTGCGCAAGGGCTTTGCGGGGGGGGCGCGCACGGCCAGATCCGGGCTTGCCGTCCGCTCGTCCTCGTTCTCCCGCCCCCTTGCCCGCTCGAGGACAGGGAGTTGTTCGGTGGTAACTCACGGAAGCCTGGTGTATCGGGGATGGACAGAGCCCCACTCTGACACGTCGATTCGTGAATTGTCCGTTCTTTTCCAGGCTGCATTTTCCAGGCTTGCGCCCGCCAGGTTTGGGGCCCGAGGTCGTTTTCACCAAACCACGTTTTACTAAAAGGGGTTCTGTCCATCCCCGAGTATACCCTCTCAATTCTGTCCTTGGCGTCGATTCGCGTCGATTAGTCGATGGGATAGCGCCGATTTAGCATCGGTCGGCGTCGACTAGCGTCGATTCGGCGTCGATAATCGTCGACTAGCGTCGATGAGCGTCGAATCGCAAGAGCCGACCAAATGGTATGGGAGGCTCCCACGAGTTGCCACCGGAGAATTGTGGAGCCCCTCGGGGTCGAGGGCGCGCGCGCGCCGGATTTTCGGTGATCGTTTGTGGTGGTCTGCGTGCGCAGGTTTTGCGTGCGCCCGTCTCCTCCGTCCCCTCCTCTGTTCCTTCTTCCCCATTTCGCTACTTCTTCCAGCCCGCCGACTTGTTTTTTGGTTCGGAGGAGGGGTGGACAACAGCATCATAACACAACACCTGGCGGGCTGGAGACTGCGTTTCTTTGGAGGGGGAGGGGGCGGGGGGCTGAGGAAACAAGCTCATACTCATACATACGACATGTTTCTTAAGAATTCCTCAGGGTTCCTCCTCCTCCTCCGCCTCCTCGTCCTCCATCTTCCTCCTCCTCCTCCACCTCCATCTTCTTCCATCTTCCTCCTCCCCTTCTCCTCTTCCTCCTCGTCCCAGGGGCCGTCTGGGCGTGTCTGGAGAGCTCCGTGCAGGTATGGGGGGCTCCCGACGGGTGCCGTGGGGTTCTCCTTGGTCGTCTGGAACGCTGGGGCATCTTTGGGGGGCTCTTGGGCCATCTGGGGGCAAGTGGAGCCGAAGCACCACAAGGGCGGCAAGGAAAAAGGAAACGACCAGTGGCACGCAGAAGGGACCTGCGCCAACGCAGCGGGCAGCCCGCCAACGGCCGCGGCCGCGGCGATGGGAGCGAGCGGCAATGGCGGAGGAGGAGGGCGCAGCCCCCCCCCCCGGCAGTCATGCGCAGCGGACGACTACGAAGAGTTCGACCTAAGAGGGTGTATCAACGGACTTCAGAGGTTGGCCCTCCGCTCGGGAGAATAGAGATATGAGCCACATGACGTCGGACTTCTTCCTCATGCCAGTCAGCAGTTGGGCGTTTCGGAAGTCGATGGCAGCGGGGCAGAAATACGGGGACCAAGTCAGGGAGAAGGACAAGGGGCACAAGTTGGGACCGCCAGGCATCCACACGGGGATGGCGCTCATGTCAGGCATCCAAGAGTTGGTGGCGGACTGGCAGAAAGAAGACGAAACAGCAGTACCAGCATCAATAGATCGAGCAATGGACACCTTGAACGACCTCCTGAAGCTGACTGTGGACAACCGCGAGCACAGCCAGACAATGATCACATAGACGGTCAAGATGTGCAATGTCAGCGAGAGATACGAGGCGTGCCACGACAAGAGCAGGAACCCGAACGAGGACGAGCAGGAGTTTTGGGAGGAGGGCCTGGGCAATATTCAGATCGGCATCAACGAGTCTCCCAACTTCAGAGCGGTGCCCCCGAAGGACATGAGGGAACACACCATGGCGAAGCTGGGCCAACTCGCAGGCCGCAGCCTGAGGATGGCGATGGGGATGCTGATCGTCTACGTGGGAGGCAAGAAGTCCCAGTCGGCGGCGCCAAAGTCAGAGCTGGAGAGGATGGTGAGGCGGGAACTTCAGCGTCGGCGCCGCCGAGGGCGGAGGCAGCGGTGGCATCGGCGAGGTTTTCTCGGAGTGCTGCGCGGCAGAGGTCAGAAGGGGTAGTTACTTTAGCGAGGTTTTCTCGGCGCGCGAAGACCCCGGGGCAGAGTGCCGGGTCGCGGCTGACGCGGACAAGCGCGTACACTGCTTCTCCGACGGCGTCGGCATCGTGCAGTGAGGGTGCCGCATCAGCCCCCCCCCGCCGGGGCAGTTTGGGCGCAGCTGGCGTTCCCAACGGCGCGCAGACGAAGAGGAATAGATAGCGCTCGGATGATGTAAGAATCACAGAAATCGATCAGCATGGGCGTTGAGCGCCTCGCCGAACTCCGACGTTTTGCCCCGATTGGCAGGATGTACGAAATGGCCCTGGAGTTCCGAGCGCAACGGGGAGCTGAGTTACAGAGACGCACCTCGTGGAACGGCCTGCCTGGAAACGACCAGCCCACGCGTCCCAGTCAGTAAACTGCGTCGCCTACAATGGCGACACGATGCGATTCTTCCTCCTTCTTTCCATTGCAGATGCGGAGAGATGGTGGGCGGGGTGCTGCGCGTGCAGTGCAGCATGCGCACAATGTAAAGGCCGGTTGCGGTCGATGGGGGAGCTGTGGCCATCATGCGAGGTACTGCGCGTTTAACAGGGCAGTTGCAAATGCACGACTACCTCCATCACTCATTCTCGGTCGCCGCAGCTGACCTGGCTCGTCGCTGGCCTGGGTGCGCAGTGCGGCGCACCAGCTGGGTTTCTCGGAGTGTGTCACACGTGGTTGCCATGGCCTTCGCGGGCAGCAGCCAGCTATGGCCCTGCGGGCGTTGCAGCGAGGGGCCCCAGTGCCACGAGATGATCGCGGGCCGGATTGGGCGCGCGAGGAACGCGCCAGGTCGCGAACAGATCAAGGCGGCAAAGGCAGTGAATGGGGAAAAAGAGCGCGCGTCGACTGCGAGCTGGGGCTGAGGGGGAGGGGCAGGAAGACTGGAGCGATGAAGAAAAGACGCTGCGCGGGGGGGGAAGTATATTTCGAGAGAGCAGGTCGGCTGAAAACGAGCGACGGAAGCAGCGGGGGCCGCGTGGGCAGCCCAGGCACTGGGACATATCAAAGGTGCTCAAGCACTACTGGCAGAAGGCGGGGGGCCGAAGATAACACTTCGCACGCAGAGGAACATGGCCGCCATGGGGGGGTCACAGGAAGCGGCAAGGGCGCCGCTGGAGGGAATCCAAATTCATGGAGGCATATTTACAGCCTTTAGCAAATCAGGAAAGGTGATGATAGAGGCTCTTCGCTGCGCCGGAGAACGCGACGTCCAACTCGACAAGCGCGTGGCCATGGGCGTCACTGGCGAAGATGCGCTGAAGGCGGCAAAAGCAGAGTTGGGGGAGGAAGAGAAAGAGAGCTGCGCGATATGGGCGACTACCAGACGGCGAAGAAGACGGGGGAGAAGCAGCCAGAGTTCCTCAAGCCGGTCGTCTTCGTGGACAAGTGGGGCGACCGCGCGCAGCTGTTCAACGTCTGCGGGAGGGCGCTGGATGGGGCGAAAAGAGCGGGGGAGCTTGCTCGCGCGGGCTCGCCTTGCCGAACAAGCTGTGGCGGAGAGGCCCCGGCCCCAACTCGAGAGGGGGCAAGTGGCAGTTCTGGGGCAAGGTGGACTGGTCGCAGCTCGTCAAAGCGCTGGAGGGTCACCCAGAGGGCGTGCTCATGGAAGAACGTGTGGACGAGATGAAGGGTGGCCAGAGATCGGGCGCGGGGTGTAAGTTCCTCCCGTTCAAGAGCAAGAGCGGGCCGTCGATGGCGGCGGAGCCCGAGGTGGGAAGCCCGTGGGAAGCGTTCGTTGCGGAGAGGCGACCGCGGCAACTGGGCGACGCCATCGAGGTGCGCCACTGCCAGTTCTTCGACGCGGCCAATGACGCGCAAGATCGATGTTTGCGACCTCGTTACAAGGTGCCCAGTCGACGCATGGGAAATACGCAGGAGGAAGGCCTTTATTGTGCAGAGCTGGAGTCAGCTGGCGCTGAAGATAATGGCGAATGACGAAGAGAACCTCCGCAACGTAATGAAGGTCGCCATAAAAGGAGCTAAACAGCGAGACGAGACGAGACGAGACGAGACGCGCGAGTCCGCCGGCCGGCGGGCCGGCAGGCCCCTTGGGGGCGGCGCGGGTGACAGCGAGGACAATCTCGACCCAGAAGAAGTGAAGAGGCTGAAGGAGCGTCAGAAGCTGCGAGGCAGCACGCATACCATGCTGGATGACGCCGAGATCTTCGCAGCAAAGATCGGTTGCCCCACGTCGGGGGAGACGACTGCGGCCGGCTTCTCCAGCGGCCGCCAGTGAGCGCACGAATTTTTGAGCCTGCTGGTATGCCAAGGGAAGCATCAGCGAGGTTACTGGGAATGCTACTCCAGGCGTGCTGCGAGCTGGCCGTGCCCGCAGGCAGTCGGGAGGAGCATTAGTGAGTACATTTTTTCCTCACTCCTCTTTTTCTGGAGTGTAACTCATGATCATGACAGACAGAATGGGCATCGCGGAGCGCTCGCGCCGCCGTCGCAATGGGATTTTTTTTCGGAGTGCCGACGGGTGCACTACTGCAGGGTGTCGAAGGAGAAAAGTGATCATCAGGAAGCCCACCAGTGTGTTCCTCAATGGCCCCGCCATATACCGCGACTACCAGTATGCTCTACTTCACTTACATTTCGATGGGGGCCAGTGGGATGCTTCAACAGGGTGTACGGTACCAAAGTACAGATGCGACAATGCATGGGGCATCTCTCAGAAAGACCAAGAATTGGGCCGAGCGGGGGAGGGGGGCACGGAATTAAAATTGTAGACTTAGCAGCCCCCCCAGCAACAGTTTGAGGGTTCGGACCTTCCGTCTCTTCCCCCTTCTCCTCCTTTTGAGTTCGTGTGGTCGTTTCCTCCCCCCCCTGGCTTGGGCGCCCTTCTCAGCCCGCGCGTCCCTTCCCCTAGGGCGCGCGGATGGGCCAGCAGTCGTTCCCCCCGCACTGACCCGCAGGGACTCGTGATGTAAGGTTGCGGGTTTCTCTTACGGGGCCACCTCGGAGCTCGGTCCTAGAGCTACGTGGTATGCCCCCTGCCGGCCCTAGTGAGGGGACAGGGCTGTAGCACAACCAATCGCAGGGGACAGAAGGACCAATCGCAGGGCTGTAGCACAACCGATCGCAGGGCTGTAGAGCGAGTGGCAGAAGCGCGTAAGGCATCTGTGTCGGTGCTCTGACGTTGCGCCCCCTTGTGCGGTTGTCCTCGTCCTTGTCCTTGTCCTTGTCCTTGTCCTCCTCCTCCTCCGCCCTCCGGCTCCGCCTCCTCCTTGTCCTCCCCCTCCTCCTCCTCCTCCTCCTCCTCATCCTCCTCCTCCTCCTCCTCCCCCTGGGGGCTCGTGCCTCCGTGCCCCTGAGCGGGCTGGAGGGAAGCCCGACGACGGTTTGTCTGACCTCGGGCACTGGAGGTCCGTGCTGGTGACGATCGCATCTTTCTCCCTGTCTCCCTCTCCCTTTCTCTCGCTCGTTCGATGCAATTCTGTATCTCTGTCTGTCCGTCCGTCCGTTCGTCCGTCCGTCTGTCCGTCCGTTCGTCTGTGTGTTTGTGTGTGTGTGTGTGTGAGTGTGTGTGTGTGTGTGTGCGTGTCTGTCTGTCTTTCTGTCTGTCAGTCTCTCTGTCTGTCTGTCTGTCTCTTTCTCTGTTTGTGTGTCTCTGTGTGTCTGTTTGTCTGTCGGTCAGTCTGTCCGTCCGTCCGTCCGTCCGTCCGTCTGTCTGTCTCTGTCTGTCTCTCTGCCTGCCTGTCTATCCTGTCCTGCCTTGTCCTGTCCTGTCCTGTCCTGTCCTGCCCTGCCCTGTCCTGTCTGTCCGTTTATCTGTCTTTTTGTCTGTCGACCGTTGTCCCTGCTTCCGTTGGCCATGCTTGGGGGATTGCCAGTGGCGCGCTCTGCTCGAGGTGCCGCTCATCCCGAAGACGAAGTGCCCGCGGTCCACGTCCCAGGTCGCGTGGTCCAGCTCCAAGGACGGGCCACCGCCCCCTTGCGACCAGCTTCCCGACAGAAGCCCTCTTCCTCCCCTCAGATCCTGGCGCCACACTTGTCACAGCGGTTGATTATGCCTTGTTGCGGGCCCTGGGACCCTCACAGATCGATCCAGCTCGCAGAATGCTGCAAACAGATGGGGCCTAGGGCTCCAGTTGTGATTTTTGCGATGCTGCAATTTTTTGGTAACGTCGGATCTTAGGCTCACATCGTCGTCGTCGTCGTCGTCGTCGTCGTCGTCGTGGTCGTCGTCGTGGTCGTCGTCGTCGGCGGTTGCGGCGGCGGCGGCGGCGTCGGCGTCGGCGTCGTCGTCGGCTTCGTCGATCGTCGTCCTGATTCTTCCATGCGCGCAGGGATGAGGGGAAGGAGGGAGGGAACTGGACCGTGCGTGAGCAGGCAGGGGATACCTTCTTCTACATCCGTTTGTCTGGCCGAGTGATGCCACGCTTGAGGGCAGTCGCACGCCTTCACCACATCAACTTGTAATACAGTTGCACCGAGGTATAAGATCGAGGTCGGTTCATAGATGTTACTCCAGTGTTCTTCGTGTTTGTTTGATGTTCTTGTGCATCTTTGAGAGGGTACCCTTGGATGTTCTGTTTGTTTTGGCCGACGGATGGTCTCATGTCCTTGAAGGATGTTCTTCTGGCCGAGGTCCGACTGTAAGCGTGCTCCCGAGCCACAACCGACTCAAGTAACCGTTGGGCGTAGCAGGACTCGGGCGCTGAGAGGTTATGGCGATACGCCGCGAGCACCCAGTCGGCACACCAGAGAGACAGAAAGCGAAGAGTGCGAAACATAATATCGAGGCTGTGGAGGGTATGCCGGGATGGGCGGTCGCGATGCAGCCGAAGATCATGCAGCACACGACAGACCAAATCGGTATGTTGCAGAAAGAAGGGGATGAGGCGAAGGTGACGGCGATGAAGGCTGAGGAGGAGGTCAGGGAGTTGGGGAAGGCAGTGAGGAACACGACGATGAAGAAACTCGAGGACTTGGAGGCTGAGTTTCAAGCTTTCAGGGCGCAGTCGCAAGGTTCAGACTCGCGCGTCCATGTCGGGCCTCTCCGGAGCTGCGCGCCTTGCCTTGCCTTGCATTGCAATTGCAAGGGGGGCGATTGGGTACGGTTCCATGGATGGCCCCTCGATGCCTCTACAATTACACAATATGAAAATACTCTCCCACTTCCCCTGATGGCGTCCCGAAGATGGCCGAACCCCCCCCGCGTATTGTTTTTTACACAGGATTCCCGGGAAACGGGTTTTCGCCTGCGTTTTTTTTCAAAATGCTGCTCTCGCTGAGGCGCCGGCCTCATTTCTGCTCCCGAATCGTTCCGAATCGTGCTCCCGCTGCAGCGTGGGCCTCATTTTCGGATCGGTGTTTGGCCTCCGTCGTTCAGGATGGCGTTCTCGCCCCAGCGCGGGCCTCTTTCTCGCGCGCCCATCCGCCCGCCACCACCGCGCCGCACCACCACCACCACCACCACCACCACCACCACCACCACCACCACCACCACCACCACCACCACCATCACAACCACCACCAGCAGCACCCACCACCAGCACCACCACCAGCACCAGCACCAGCACCAGCAGCACCACCACCACCACCACCACCACCACCACCACCACCACCACCACCACCACAACCACGCACACACGCACGCACGCACACACGCGCACCACCACCACTACGCACGCGCGCGCGGAGCCACAGGTCCGCTACGACACGCGTCCGCGGATAGAGAAAATCAGCGCCATGGTAAGGGATGGGAGGGAGGAGTATGACGTCAGATATGACGCGAGCGCACCTAGCTTGGCCCTTCCCCCCCTCCCTCCGTCCCTCCCTTCCCCCCCTCTGTTCCCCTCCACCTTCCCTGACCCTCTCCCTTTCCTCCCTCCCTCTTTTCCCCCTCTGCCCTCCCCTTCCTTCCGTTCCCCTTCCCTTTCCCTTCCTCACCCTTCCCCCCGCCCCCTCCACTCCCTCCCCTCCCCCTTCCCTCCCCCTTCCCTCCCCCTTCCCTCCCCCTTCCCTTCTCCCCCCCACTGCCCCTCGCCCCAATGCTTCTTCGGGGGAGGAGAAACCACCCCGCTGCTCTTGATGATAGGCGTTTGCTGAACAGCCTGGGCATGAACTGAGCAGTCTTGCCCTGTTCGACACCTCCCTTCTGTGTGTTCCTACTAGAGGAGGCTCCTCATGCAGGGTTGCTCATTCTGAGGGTTGCTCTTCTGCCCTCCATCGATGATTCTCGGGACGTGTATCAGCCCAGTGTGTGTTTGTGTGTTTGTTTGTGTGTGTGTGCGTGTTTGTGTGTGTGTGTGTGTTAGAGAGTGAATGTGTTTGTGATTGTGTGTGTGTGTGCGTGAGAGTGTGTGTGTGTATGTGTGTGTGTGTGTGTGTGTGTATGTGTGAACTGTTCCAAGATAGTACCAAGCGACCAGTTTCGTCACCGGCATATGTGATCCCGAATTGGGCAACATTCTTCATTGCGCGACGTGACCGCACGGTGTCCGGGGAACCGAGGACGATTGCTGATCGCATCATGTGGGAAAAGGCAGCAATCATTGAGCACACAGAAAGGAGCAACGTGTCCAGTCGACGCTACCTCTTAAAGTGAAAGAGGATAAAGTGGCAGAGTTGATTTCGGGCCAAAATTGGACAAGGCAGTCCCACGGAACATCCGTTGGGGCGCTCCATTCAATCCTCGAAGGATATTGAATCCTTCCTTCGGACCCAGAGTATGGGGGAACTGTGAAGAAGACAAGCGTCGGAATATTTTCATTTGCGTGCCCTGAAGATAACCCTTTTACCCACCTGTGGTACGCGATGGTGGGAGAAACATTCAATGATGGATATTGGAACTCAGCGGACATTATATTTCGGAGTTGTTCGACATCCGTTACTGATGATGGTAGTCAAACGCAGCAGTGCATTAAACATACCGGTCAGGTATAATTGACTGAGATACGCACTTGCCATTGGCACCCCGCCGCGTTCTTGGCGTACGGGGGTGGCGCTTGGGCGACATTGCGAAATTTGTTGGAAGAAGGCAAAACTGCCGACAAATATTTCAAGGTTGAGCGGTCGAATAACAAAGCGAGAATTGAAATTACAGACAAAGTCAGGAACCATCAGTGTCAATGGGTTTCCGATCTTTTATTAACAGATTGGCAGGACAATGCGTCGCCGTACCTTGAGTATGATCCTTCGATGGAGAACGCATGGGATTATTTGGAAAGTAGAGGCTGCAAAGTGAATTTCGAACGCCCTTTTCTTGTCGCAGCAAATGAGAAAGCGTGCGGCTCATTGCCGAGTAGAGGCTAGGGCCAGGCAGCCGGCGCAGCCGGCGGGCGGGTCTACCTCTAGTACAGCCGAGCCGCCCCCGCGTTTCGGTGATACTCGGGAACCGAAACCTCCGCCATCTAAATCAGCCTGGCCTCCCGTGCCGCCTAAGGCCAGGGAGGCATGGCGGCTGCTGGGTCGGATGGCGACTCTCGGGGAGGCCTGCCTCCCGCGGCGCCGCCGCCAGGAGGCAGGGGCCCTTGGGGGCCATTGTCAGACAATGCATCGAAGCCGCTTCCGCCCTTCCCGTGGACCTGCTCCGAAGTCACTGGCCAATCCAAGTGGATCCGATCAGACGCCAAAGGGAGGGGCGCAGGCACCTCCGTCAGACACCCGGCCACACTGGATACCCTCTTTGAGAGATGCTCCGCCTACAGCGCCGGCGGATGCGCCGGGCGCCGGAAGTTCGAAGAATTTGATCATACCTCCGACGCCTCCCCCAAATGACCCTCCGCGATTCGATCTCCAAGATGACGCTGAGGCACTTGGCACTCCCGCGGAGGCGCGGCGTGAGCAGCCCGGCACAGCCAGAGCTAGCCAGAAGATTATTGAAGTGGGTGCCCCCGAGGGACTCAACACTTTCGTGCTTGACTTGACGGGCCCACCTCCTGCTGAACCGATTGTGAGTGGCCCGCAGTCCTCCCGGCCAGAACGGCTTGATAGGGGGCGACGGAGTGGGGGCGAAGTCTAATTTTGATTTGTTAATGCCTCCAGCTGAGCTCGAAGACAATTGCCCTGTTTCAGTAGTCGTCAAGCTGGTGCGAGATCTTTTGGTCATGCATTTTGGATCGCAATCGAGCCGAACACATGTGTCACTTCGTAACGAATCAATGCGGCTCTGGCAAGCGCGCCCCGGTGGGCTCCAGTCTGAAGCTGTTAGAGAGCTCTCTGTTGAAGAGGCAACCTTTTTGAGTGGTGACATGATGACCTGGGCACTCCGCTATATAAAACAAACAGATGAAAAGAGGAATGGGCCCACTGAATATTCGTTACCTCGTAAAAATTGGGCCCATGATTTGCGCAATGCCCCCATGTTCGATGCCCGAATTTCATTCCTTCGGAAGAAATTCCAAACGCCAGACTGGTCGTTAACCCTGCGGCGTTGATCGGTGCAACCGGCGTCGACGAAGGGTCAGCCGCTGCGGAGACGGATGGGGAAGGTGATGCGCGATCTGCGGAACCGCGAGACAATGGGCTGAGGGCGCCCGACGCTGGGGAGAAGTCCCACTTGTAAATTACGGAAGACGTTGAAGCGCGTACTCGTCCAGGAGTCACACATTTGTCCTTGCGCGTGATTCTTCCTTCCGCCGATGCCCGATCATAAGCGGCTCCGTCCTGGAGAGCAAGACCCCCCAGGGCGAACTAGGAGTGTCAGTCGTGCAAGATTTGCTACTGATGGGGGCCTTTTCTATTTTGATCAACAACGACGAGGGAACGCTCGCGATGGAACGAGTGGCGAAGTCCGAAAGCAGGTAACTGAAGCCCGCGGGGCTGGCCCAGCAGCCCCCCGCATCGCAGCGGTTCGTGGGCGTGCCTATCATGCGATCAAGGAGAATGCGCGCATGGTGCACGACCCGCTTTTTTTGCGCTGCTGGGGGAGCTAGAGGTAGAAGGATTTGACCAAGCAGTCAAATTTCTCAAGGCGGAGTTTGACTCGGATGACAGACCAGATTTCGCCCCCCAGGATGCCTGCAGTTCGCATATCCTTCTAGTATTGCCGAATGACGCTACTGGCGCAGCCGAGGCAGCGGATGCGCAACTGTTGAAGCAGGGCCAAAGGTCCGCCATGCTGGGACGCCAGAGTTTTGGAGAAAGTGCAGCCGCCGAACGCGCTCCCATGCGCTATTTGTAGGTGAATGCACGGTGCGCATGGCAAGACATGGCGCCCGGTGCTCCCGATCATCGGGGGGGTGGGTGTACGTGGGCGACCTCAGTCGGGGGGTGACGTATGATGGAGTCACTCGCGCCGCTGCTGCCCTCGCAATGCATGGCCTGACAACGTTGTCATCGGGGGAGATTGTTGTTCTAGGCATCAGGGCCGACGACATTCTGGTTCTTGATGAGACAAGGATAATCGAGCACTGGCTGTCTTTTCTGGACCCAGACGCCTCGCGCGGCGCAGTCGTTGATGAGGAAAACGGAGACTCAGCGCCGCCGATAGAGCTGAATGGGCTTCCAAGCCCATGCCAGTGTTCTTTCGTGCATGTCAAGGACACTTTTGCTTTGCCCACAGCGTAGAACGCACGTGTGCGCCCGGCGAGTTTGGGATGGCGCGATGCCGCGGGCATTTGCTGCACGTTGCATCCTTAGAAACCATCGAGAGTCCACGCTATGATCAGGGACAATTCAGTACCCGAATACGCTTAATGGATTGCGCAAAGCACCTGATTACGGACTTCTCCAATTGGTTGATGCCGACGAGGCGTGAGTACCTTGCGGAATGTGCTGAGCACGTCCATCGCTGGCTCAGCCAGCGGAAGGACGGTGAAGCTCTACCCGCCAAGGTATATCAGGCTGAGGGCGCTGCCCCAGCCGGCGGTGGACCCCCAACTCAGGGAACTTGGCCTCGCGCAGTTACCCCGTCTTTCTGGGGAACTGATGCGACGCATAATGAGAACTGGCAATTTATTGTTGTCTTCAATGGACGGGTGTTGACCCGCCCTTGGTGTCGCATCTGTGGCGATGGAACTCTTGCGGCGACAGGACAAGCGCGTTTCAATGACATGCCTCGTATTGTGCAACTGACATCGGTTGAGCCAAAATGCACGCAACTCATAACATATGATGTGGAACTTAATATTTCCACAGGAGCGGTCTGCGTGGGAGGTTGCTTTCTCGCATGGCCTAATCAGAACATGGATCCCTTCTGATGAACAAGTGGCCGATGCAGGGCAGAGTGCGCTGTTCGAAGAAGAAAGGCCGTCATCGCGCGGAGACTTTGGACAGACGATTGAAGGTGCATTTGCAATTGATACCATGCCGTGAGGGCTGGTGTCGGATATTGTTTACAATGCCTCACCCCTGTCACGTACAAAACAATCGTCAGCGTGAATTACTTACAGTCCGCCTGGAGAAAACGCATTGGTTGTTGCGTGGGCGAGCCTGGGACTTGCTCCGCGTCTTGATGCCCCCCAAGTGGGGGGAACCGATCTAAGGTCAACTCTAACAGGCTGAAAGCAATGAGCAAGAGCTCTGCGTATGCATTGGATAACTTGAACAGAGCTGAACAACGTCAGCGCAAGTGGGTTAATCTGAAACACATACGTTCCCGGGCTTCTTGGGCAGGTTGTGCGTTCATGAATTCGCGGCCAGGGGCCGTCCTTTCCTGGGGGCCTGACAGCGCCTCGGCACAGCCGCCGGCGCGTCGCGAGCCATGCTTCCAGAATCTGGAACCACTTCTAGAATCTGGAACCATTCAAGCTCCGATTCATTGACTGGCTAAAGCACAAGCATGGGGGCACTCACCCCACTGCTGCCCAGTGGTTGCCATTGATTCGGACGCCAGATCTGGGCCAATACGCTCGTCCTATGAGACGCTCTGCACTTGCCGTCTTCGATTGGGAACATTTGAGTACCGAACACATTCGTCCAGAGACGGGCTGGGACCAATGGGGGCAAGAGATGGAAGAAAGGGGATTTCTCATTCCATCAGTTCGAGTGCTGACGGAGAACTTCAATGGCGCCAACCGAGCGTCTGCGTCGAACCAAGTAGGAGATATAGATTTCCGACTCGTTGCTGAACGTCATCGTTAGCGAAGCCGCATTGATGAAGCACTATCAGCGCGTTGAGATATTTCTGCGACGTCGGACGGCATATGTAATCAGCATATAACCCAGCGTCATCCGCTGATTGTTCCGACCAGAACGCTGCCTTTTTGCCTTGCTGTGATTTCTGCTCCTGGCTGCATGTCTAGCTATAAGTACAACAATGACACATGCGAGATGCCAGACGTTATCAAAGTTGCAGCACAATTTATTCTAGAATATTCATCGACAGCTCCAACTGCGATGCCACTGGGCAAAGACATCGTTCATGATGTACCGCCGGGGCTATCTTTCCGAGCTTGTGGGTATAATCTACAATCAACCTTTTGATCGAATCCCCACTCGTGGAAGATGGGGGCGAATTCTGTTAGCTGTGCGCGAAGTAATATTCTTGTTCATTCCAGCGGGAATCAATGTTGCATTCCCGGGATATGAGGTGCAGCGTGATCCGCGGTCCAGTCAAATCATGCAAGATGCTTATGCTTTGGGCTGTCGGATCCGATCCGCGGTCGAGACATGCGACTTGCTTCGTGACTGGACCGAAGGATTAGGAAATGAAGTATCAGAGACCGCGCGATGGAATTGCTGAGGCATCCAAGAGGCTATGGTTTTTATGCGCACGTCGACGGAATCTCAACTTAGCGCCAATACTTTTCTCACCGCCAGCCTCTTTGGGGTCTTCAATGCTGACAGTGCCATTGGGATTGCCACTTGCCGCGGAAGAAAGAGGGGGAGAGCGGCCTGGCCAACTCTCCGACAGAGACAATCCCAGCCGAGTCTCCAGCAGATGCGGTAACCACAATCGTTGAAGAGAACACCCCGAGCGGCTCCGCCGCCCCGGGGCAGCGAACTCAGCGATGCCCTCGCCCAGCGTCGAGACCGAGGTGCCGGGGTGGAATGCAGTCTGCGACCAGACGTAAGAGTGACCTTTCGCCGGAGTGACCTTCGGTGTGGGCACAGATGGGCCCCCAGATGGTTGGAAACGAAGCAGGAGCAGCGGCTTGCGCGCCCAGGTCTGGCGCCCCCGCGGCCCGCGAGAAGCCGCGCAACAAGGGTCACTCTCACCCCGGGTCGCTCTTGCGTGTAGCCGAAGTCTTATCGGGCTGCGCCCTATGCGCCTGTGACCGCCGGCCCAGCCGCGTCGGGCGCCTATGCTGGCTGGATGGATTATGATAGAGCCCGGCCGTGGGCGGGTGAATCTTTGACTGATGAGCCTATCCCTGAAAGACTGGCCGTGGAGCCGGCTGGCGGCCGCGCGAGCGGTGGCGGCGGCCCCGGGCCGGTCATGGGCGGCGGATGCGACGCGACCGTTGACTGCGAAGACAAGAACGAGAATGGAGAAGTTCAAGGGTACTATGTGAATGTATCCCGGCATCGGCGAGTCACTTGTCCTAGCAAAACGTGACAGTGGTTTAGTTTGAACGAGTGCAACGACAAGTTCAAGCATGACTATGGGATGCCAAGTACCTTGCCAGAGTCTCCACCGCCGCCTACGTCGAAGGCGAGGCCGCAGGAGAAGGGCCAGGGCAAAAGTGAGCCAAGCGGCTGGAGTTCCAGCAGAAGACGGACAGGACAACTACTCCAGGGATCAGAACCAGTGGCGCTGGAGCAACAGTGATCCCTGGGACGGTTCTCGTGAGTGGAGGGGTCGCTGGCGAAGGTGATGCAGCGCAATGGGACCAGTGCGACATAGTCGATGCTGGTCCACGCTGCATCATGGGGCGGGTTCACCAGGTGTGCACGGGCATTGTGGCCTGAGCTGGAAATATTAGCTCAGGCGGGGAACGTCGGGTTTCTTCGGCCTTCCGCCCCCTGGCAACCACCGTTGAACGGTAAATTGCTTTTGGGGCTCGCTCCGGAGGCTGTGCATTTGTGCAGGCCAGGTGGGTTGTGGGGTCGGGGCGGCTCTACGGACCCCGCCGCGGGGGGAGTCAATGCACCCCTTCCGCGCCACCAACCTTTCGCCCTGCCTGCTCTCTCTCCTTGCGCGCGCTGCCTGTCGTACTGACTGACTACTTCTGCTTCCGCAGCTATACTACTTTGGCTCTAAGGAAACGGAAAAGGAGCGAACCTGCGGCGCGCGCGCGTGCGTCGGCCAGCGGGCCGGCCTCCCCCCTTCAGTGTTACCATAGTGTATGCTGGACGGCATTATCCTTTCTTCCCCATGCCATCTGCGGAGCGCATTGACCATGATACATTATCGGAACATCTCGCAGGGGTTATGAATATCCAGGCAAAAGAATTTTTCAACGCTTAGTCGCCAGCGCGGTCGCTCTGTCTAGCCGCCGACGCAACAACTGTGTGTGTGTGCGTATGCCCCGGCACGCTGCCTGTGCCGGCCACTGTCTCACCGCCCGCGTCGTAAGGGAGGGCTTCGGTGTACTAGGGTGTAAGTGCACAGGTCGCAGAACGCTGCCCACGAGAAGGTTGCCTTGTAGCCTCCCAACATTGGTGCAGGGCAATCGATGTGAGGCGGTTGGATCGCATCCCGACTGTTGGAGCATGGGCTGCGCTGCTACTTCAGGGGTGCAAGCAATGACATAAACATAGAAGCTCGGAGGTCCGCGCGGATTCCTCGGATCGGCGCTGGCCCCTGTTCATTGCGCGCGGAGCGCGCTGGGGGCGGCGCCGGAGGCGCCGCCAGGGGGCACCAACGTCGAGCCGAGAAATCCGCGCAGACCCCCGCCTGCCCGCGCCGGCCAGACGCCCGACTTCTTCATCGAGCTCAGCGACCTGGCGGCCCCGGCCGTGCTGGCCCCCTCGTCGGAGGCGAGCCCTTCTGTGAGGCGCGGCCGGCGGGCGTTTCGGCGGGCCCAACGGGCATGGGCGGGGGAGGGGGCAGAAATGATTGCGACACCACGGGGTAGGAAGAGTTCGAGGGTCGAGGCTCGAGGAGAATCGAGGATCGAGGAGGCTCGAGGATCGAGGCGGATCGAGGCGGATCGAGGAGGAGGAGGAGGAGGAGGTGCTTTCTCGCCCGATGGGGCCCTTCAGAGGTGGTACAGCACCCGCGCACACGCCCGGGCCTCCAGCATCAGAGCCTTGAGCCTGGAAGGGGGGTAAGCCGTTGCCCGCTCGGGGCGGGGCGGCCAGAGCTTCCCCACGCGCGGGCGGCGGCAGCGCGGCGCTGCCACGGGGGTTGCAGTGATGGGGAGGACCCACCCCAGATTTCCGTCGGGCATGTCCTTCTACACGTGTGGAGGACGATCAATGGAGAGGAAGCATGTTGCCAAATCGTTCCCAGATGTCCAAAACATGTGTTCAACATGCTTTAAGCATGTGAAGCACACGTTTAACACATGTTTAGAACATCTTTCCGACATTGTAAACACATTCTCCATTCCACGATAGCACTGCTAGGGTGTCCACTGTCGTGGCGTCCACAACTCTACAGCCCACCGCAGGCGGCAGCAGTGGAGGCGCTGCCACAGGCGCAGCCGACACAGGCGGCCATACGGCCACACGGCCTGAGGCTGCGTGGCACCGCCGCGTCAGGCGAGTTCCGGGACAAGCTCGCGAATACTTCGGGGGTGGACAGAACCCCCAACAGTGACACGTCGATTAGTGAATTTTCCGTTTTCGGTTCTCGAGGGGGCGCCGCGGCCGTCATTTTCCAGGCTTGCGGCCGCCAGGTTTGGGCCCGAGGTCGTTTTCACTAAACCACGTTTTACTAAAGGGAGGTTTGTCCATCCCCGGAATACTGGTTCGATTGGAGACAGCTCGCCATCTGTTGAAGCACCATCACAGTGCAGTTCGCTTTCCGAGTGTGCAGCGTCAGCCCGCAACCTGAACCTGCATCGAGTGCAAGCAGCAACATGTCGGGTATAGCCAGGACCCCAGGTAAGGGGACCCGGATAGTAGTAGGGCCCCACGGCCCCTAAATTGGCCAGAATCAGTAAACCAGGTTTGCCGTAGCTGGTGTTTTTTCGGGTGACGGCAGTTCCGGTTAGTGGAATGGGACGCCCCACTTAAGCCAGTTTTGCTAGTGCCCGAAAATGATTTCACGAGGCTTCCGCCATTCCGCCGACCCCTCGGAGGAGGCGGGCCGTCCACGGTCAAGGCGTCGTGGGCTGTTTGGGGCGTTGTTTGGGGGCTCTCTTGGGCGCCCTGGGAGCTGCTCGGGGGCCAGGCGGAGCCTCCGGGAGGCAGTTTTGGAGTGTCCTGGGGGCCGCCTTGGGGGCTTTTCTGAGCCTTTATGGGGCATGTTTGTATCATTCAGCCCCCCCTCTTCCTCCTCCTCCTCCTCCTCCTCCTCCTCCTCCTCCTCCTCCTCCTCCTCCTCCTCCTCCTCCTCCGGCGCACTGTAGCATACCTTCGCGCTTCGCTGGGGCAAAGAATTCCAGCGTACGCTTCCGAGGCACTGCAGGGGAGCGTCTGCGCGAACCCCGTTATAATGCACATGTGTTTCACGTAGCCGATTTTCCTGCCGATGCGCCGTTCAGGCGCGGCTGTGTGTGTGTGTGTGTGTGTGGGTGTGTGCTGGGGCTTTCGGGGGTCTCTTTTTGGGGGTTTCTTGGGGCCTTTGGGGGGCCTCCTCGGGCTCTCAGCAGATGGTGTCGGAGGTTCGCGCCGCATCGGCGATTCATCGGCGATGCGGCTCGATGCGGAGCCCGATTTTCTCCACGCCCACGTCGCCGGTGCATCGCCGACGTCGAAAGTGCATCGCCGATGATTCGCCGATACATCGGTGATGCATTGGCGATTCGGCGCGATCCTTCGACTCCATCTACTCGGACCCCATTTCGGAGGTCTCTACGGGCGGTGAGTCGGATTTTCGGTTAGGTTCTCCCTCTTCGCCGCCTTTTTGAAGCGATCTTTGGCTGTCTTGGGCCCCTGTTTGGGCCGTCTTAGAACCCTCTTGGACCGTCGTGGGGCCCTCGTAGGAGCCTCTTGGGCATCTTTAGGGCGGTCTACGGGGCCTTAGCGGTCGTCTTGAAGCGTAGTAGGCTTGAGAAAACGATAACCCCCAAACAATGAAACACCTACGGGAAGCCATCGATTTTTGCCTGTCGGGGCCCTCTTGGGAAGGCTCTTGGGGTGTCTCGAAGGCGTCTTGGGGTGTGTTGGAGCCATCGTTGGCGTCTTGGGCCAATTCTTCGGCGATTCGGGATCGTCTGGGAAAAGTTTTGGATGCCATGTGAGGCAGATTTGGAAGCTCCAGAGTCTCCAGGGGTGCGCCAATGAACCCGTATGCCCCCTCTCATCGTCGGCCTGGTCATGTCAGAAACGAGATTGCACAATCCTTTAGAGGAAACATAATCAACGGGCAGCCGACGACCGACGGAGAGAACGAAAGCATGCCGCTCTTCGATACGATGCGGGAAACAGTGGAGGAGCACCTGATGTCCACAGTCGAATATTCGTTGAAGCACCCGATCTACCGGAATCCAGCAGCAGATTATACTGCAAAGTGCAAGCGTTCATTGGAAGAGCGTACGGCGCGACTTGCTGAAACCACTGTTTGGGGCAAGCGTTTATGCACCAATGCTGTTGTCCAGGAGCAGGAGCTTGGTGTTCTGAAATACATGCGCGGGCAATCGAAGCCGGCACCCGTCCAAACTCAGATAACTGAATCATATTTTTCCGCAGGCCGAGGAGGACTCGAACTTATTGAACAACAATATGTTACGATGCAAGCAGATATTCGTATGAAGAAGTTGTTTTAAGTAATGATCTAACTCTCTGGCGAGAAGATCAAAAGGGATATGTGGAAACATATAAGCAGAGTAGCGATGACGACGACGTACATGATCAAAGGAAAAGGAGGGCGGACGTGACGTGCCAGTGTCGCCACCGCCACCACTAGTGCCACCGTTTTTCCATCATGTGCGGAACTTCGCGGTTCAGTGTCTACCTCCCGAACCATGAAGTGCCTGCTGTTGATGGTCAACGCCAGCAGCCTGGTGGCCGCGCGCTGGAGTTGCCCAGCTTTGCCAAGCATTACGGCAACACGGAATGAATCATTGATATGGAGGTGGTTTTAGAACGGACGCCAGCTTTCTTGCAGCTGCACTACATGAAAACCCAGTGGTCCCACCAGTCGGAAACGAGGCCCCGAGCTTCATGCCGCTCACGCCCACCAGGGTCGCCAGCAGCCCAGGTGTTCCGCAAACCCCATTGATGGGCAATGCGGCAACCTTGGGGCCATTTTTTTTTGTTTCCCCCCCAAACCCTCCTGCGTTGGGTATTCGCTTTGAATAGAGCACTGCGGTCGCGTCTCCCCTCCTCCTCCTTCCCGTCCCCCTCCTCTCCTCCCTTCTCCTCCCATCCCTGGGGGGCTGCGATCTGTGAAACTGTCGCCACTTTCGAGGCCTGCTGGGGAGCCCAGCACAGTGGGCACCCACGGCGGATTCAAATGGGACCTCGCCATCCCTGGGGGGCTGCGATCTGTGAAACTGTCGCCACTTTCGAGGCCTGCTGGGGGGCCCAGCACAGTGACGTCTTACGGGGATTCAGATTCGACCTCGCCATCCCCGGGGGGCTGCGATTTGTGAAGCTGTCGCCACTTTCGAGGCCTGCTGGGGGGCCCAGCACAGTGGCGCCACACGGGGATTTCAATTAGACCTCGCCATTGGTGGCGGGCTGCGATCCGTGAAACTGTCGCCACTTTCGAGGCCTGCTGGGGGGCCCAGCACAGTGACGTCTTACGGGGATTCAGATTCGACCTCGCCATCCCTGGGGGGCTGCGATCTGTGAAACTGTCGCCACTTTCGAGGCCTGCTGGGGGGCCCATCGCAGTGACGTCTTACGGGGATTCAGATTAGTCCTCGCCTTCCCTGGGGGGTTGCGATCTGTGAAACTGTCGCAACTTTCGAGGCCAGCTGGGGAGCCCAGCGCAGTGGCGCCACGCGCGGACCCAACTTAGAACTCGCCATCCCTGGGGGGCTGCGATCTGTGAAACTGTCGCCACTTTCGAGGTCTGCTGGGGGGCCCAGCGCAGCGACGTCCTTACGGGGACCCAGGTTAGACCTCGCCATCGCTGTGGGGCTGCGATCCGTGAAACTGTCGCCACTTTCGAGGGCTGCTGAGGGGCCCAGCACAGTGACGTCTTACGGGGACTCAGATTAGGCTTCGCCATCCGTGGGGGGCTGCGATCTGTGAAACTGCCGCCACATTCGAGGCCTGCTGGGGGGGGCCCAGCACAGTGGGCACCCACGGCGGATTCAAATGGGACCTCGCCATCCCTGGGGGGCTGCGATCTGTGAAACTGTCGCCACTTTCGAGGGCTGCTGGGGTGCCCAGCACAGTGGGTACCCACGGCGGATTCAAATGGGACCTCGCCATCCCTGGGGGGCTGCGATCTGTGAAACTGTCGCCGCGTTCGAGGGCTGCTGAGGGGCCCAGCACAGTGGGTACTCACGGCGGATTCAAATGAGACCTCGCCATCCCTGGGGGGCTGCGATCTGTGAAACTGTCGCCACTTTCGAAGCCTGCTGGGGGGCCCAGCACAATGGGTACCCACAGCGGATTCAAATGGGACCTCGCCATCCCTGGGGGGGTGCGATCTGTGAAACTGTCGCCACTTTCGGGGCCCAGCACAGTGGGTACCCACGGCGGATTCACATGGGACCTCGCCATCCCTGGGGGGCTGCGATCTGTGAAACTGTCGCCACTTTCGAGGCCTGCTGGGGTGCCCAGCGCAGTGGGTACTCACGGCGGATTCAAATTAGACCTCGACATCCCTGGGGGGCTGCGATCTGTGAAACAGTCGCCACTTTCGAGGGCTGCTGAGGGGCCCAGCACCGTGGGCTTCCCGCGCGTCTTTCTCCTGCTCTTCGTTCCCGAC